AAAGCGAAAAGGGGGAACTTATTCAGAAATAAATGCCTGAACTTAAGGTTAAGCCCACGAGCTATCCCGTCATTCGGGTTTGACTTAAAAATTGGCATGGAAGACGACATACATACCAGAAGCCAGGGGAAAAGGCGGTTTAAAATCTCCGAAGGACTGCATCGCACGTAGCTGCGTCATGCACCAGCAGAAAATTAGGCTCTTGACTGGCGCCTTCTTTTTCAGTATACCCTATATTGTTATGATGTGTACATGGTACTGCTAACAGTGTTTTAAGTGTGAATACTTTGCAGTTATTCCGCCGAAGTCTATAGCATTCAAATCACATAACATCCACATTTCGAACGTTTGCTGGCTGTGAGATCCTGGCGCCGCGTTGATCGATACTAGTGCTTTCAAGTGATAAAACAGCTGTATGGACTGCAGTCAGTTCTGCTTTATTTGGTAGCTAGGGTCTGTGGATGCGGTGCTGTCTTAGGCCGTCTTGACCCCCAATCTACGTCCAACCCATCTGGTCAGAGTACGGGTGACCCATCCTGCAGGGAGGCAGGCTGATCTACTGTGCCTGGGAACCAGATCCTCAGAATGATCCTTTCCGGTTATGCACTACCTTAGAAGCTATGAACCGCAGGAATTTTGGTAAGCCGTCTGCCCCTCCGACTCCGCCTTCACAGAAAATTGGTCATTATGATAATCCGCGTCCAGCAGCTGTTTGAGGAAGTTGACGCGATTAGTTTTGACAGTCGCGAGGTCATCAGCAAAACGGTGAGTCCAGAGTTGCAGCAGGTATTGTGTGGCAGTCCGCGCCTCCTTGTTCGCCGCTGTCTTGTCACGCTGCCCACCTGTCCGCTTCACACTCCCTGTCGATCCGCTGCTGGAACGCGCGAGGCTTGTCACTAACCTTGCAAGTCGTCGAGGCCAATCAATACTGCCCCTTCTCTGATTGGTTGGCAGAGCGAAAGGCGTACGCGCGCGCTGAGGTCTAGGCACCTCAACGGCGTACGCAGACACAACTTGCCCGGAGAGACCGCTTGCGGCGACCGCTTGCAGAACCCTTGTGTACGCACTTTATCAGCAGCAAAAGTTGTCCAACCCAATCCGTCTTCCCTGATTTGGGGACCTCTGCCTCGTCGACCATACCATCCCGACAATTGGGCAGTCTTGGGCCTCCACTACTACAGCAAGCCGTTCAATGGTGACGCCAGGGGTTTCCCTTTGCTTAGTGCGTCAGCCCGCACAGGGGGACCGAATTCGACTCGGGGGTAATGTTCTAGAAATTTCATCGGGTGTTCCCCTTTCGGGGAGTCTTGCTGTCGTTACAATGCGTTTCCGGAAGTCCCTCGTAATTGTTCTGGAACTAAAACGAAGGGGCAGACGACCTCGTAGGACGGAATTAGTTCATCGGTCCTGATAGCCAAACCTTCAACAGGCTCCAGAATATTTTCACCGAGCCTGTGGTGGTTGATGAGCGTGCAGATTCTAAACTAAAACGATAGAACATCCACGGTGTCAGTCCATGCGTCGGTGCATCCTAAATATACATGACTGATCGGATGGTATATTTGCCTTATGTGCTTTTAAGAGTCAATAGATCCTCATTTTCAAAGAGTTCCTGACTTCACGTCGTGCCATTTCGTGCTAAATACTGCTCCACTATTAGTCACCTGTTAATTTGGGAACTTGCTTCATTTGCTCCTTTCCTTAACAGGTCCTGTTGGATTTAACGTAGGTCAGCATGCCTATTGTCTTAATCTGTTTATCGGGCTTTGCAAAAATCACTATGGTGATCGTCATTAACCTTCAAGCTACTCAGTGTCCGTTGCCGCGCCTACGAGCACAACACACGTGCTAGTTTCTAAGTCCAGACACAGCAGTCATCATTGAGGTCGCCTTCGGCCTCAAATGTCTGAGTGCTATAAGGACCATATTACTAGGGGTCGTTGTAGCCTGACTATCAGCCCGAAATGTGTTATTCGCACAGCCAGCAAGCGTGCCAAAAGTAGTTCAGAAGGTTGTGCATCTACGGCGAATTTGAGGTAAGGGGTGAGCGTAGGAAGTTCAATTTCGCTCCCAGGTACTTTTTTCTGGCTGTGTTATATTTTACCTTTTCAAAATTCGTTATAACAACCGCTCCTTACCACTAAGAAGGCATGTATTTATTCATACGGGAAACCGATCTACAGTGAGTGACCGCTGTCATGAAATATGGGCTGAAATTCTGAAATTCGTCTTCGATTAGGAAGGATTACCTAGGCGCGCTTGTAATACGGATTATCTTGAGGCATATTCTTATAATATTTTGGACTCGGCAGGATGTCAGCTTTAAAATACACTGCTTTTCAATCTCCTGTAGAAACCGTACGTGGGATGCATTTTTCCCATTGGTTTTCGATGACCTTGCAAATTCAAATATATGTTACAGAAACCATAAATAAAAGTATACTTTCTCCCAGTCGTTGGATAGAGAATTACGTCCTCTTCATATTTTATACTCGAAGAAGGAGTATAATTAGGATTTGAAATAGTTTTTTAATTGCCAAATAATTTGGAGAGTGATCATTTGTTGCACTAACACTTAGCGATTTCAGTCTACAAGGTGCATGCGTTCCGCGTAAAGAAAATCACATATTTTTCTATGCCTTTATAAAGACATAATACAGGGTCCATTAAATTTTGCAATGGATTCGGACAATGTTGTTCATTTCATGAGGAGTTGTGGTAAGCGGACAGGTACGATGCTGTGTGAATGGACATTGCACGGTCTTAAAAAATTTCATAATTAGAAACTTTTTTAAAACCTAATTATTCCCCTTCTTCGAGTATAAAATATAAAGAAGACATAATTATCTATCAAACGACTAGGAGCAAGCATATTTTTATTTATGGTTTCTGTAACATATATTTGAATTTGCAAGGGCATCGAAAATCAATGGGAAAAATGCGTGCCACGTACGGTTTCTACAGGAGATTGAAAAGCAGTGTATTTTAAAGCTGACATCCTGGCGAGTCTGAAATATTATAGGATTATGCCGCAAGATAATCAGTATTACAACCGCGCCTAGGTAATCCTCCCTAATCGAAGATGCATTTCAGATTGTAAGCCCTCAATTCATGAGATCGCTCACTCACTGTATTTACAAATGCAACAGTTGTCGGCTCGGACAGCAGGGTGACCGTCAGTTTCCCGTTCCAAATAATAGTGTTTTTAGTATGAAATGGTAGAGTAATGGGTCGAGGATCTATGCCTCAACTTACGTACAAATCCGGCAGCTCAGAGCAAGCTGGGTGGCCGGGCAGGAGACGCTGAACTGCCATTTAATTTCATTAGAATTTCACCTGTTATACGCAAAACAGGATTTTCAACTATGCTTCTCATCACTCCCGAATATGCTGAGTTGATAATATCACCTGTCAATACGCCTACAGCACGAAAGCGCTAATAGCAAATTGTCCTTTCTTCCAAAAATTCGCCTGCAAAAGACCCATTTTCCCACAAAACCGAACAAAAGACGCGTAAAGCCTGTGGACGTCGGATATCAGTGGGTAGAATGCACGCTGCGTCACATGCGCGGTCGCTCGGCACATCGCTGGGCAGGCGAACCCTTCGTATTCCCTTGATGGTTTCCAAATCCGAAACAAGCCCCTATGGTTAGCAAATTTGCCTTCTCTTTATAGCGCCCCCCTGCAGTATAATTCCCTGTTATAATTGTCTCGGGTCGATCTAGTTGGATTTGTCAGGATTGGTTTAAATGCATCCAATTTGCTGAGGGAGCCACTTTTAGGAGGATCCACACCGTTATGGAAACATCTTAGTACTGTAGAGAAATATATGACTTTGATGACAGTTCGACCATCGATTTCGATGATGTCCACCGTATGCCCCACAGCAGGTGGGAGCAGGGACGGTGACTTACGCAGGGGTTTATAGTGCGGGTAGACTTGCGCTGCATCTACCTACACTCTCTCCTCCTCCCCCGCCTGGGCCCGGTGTCAAGACAGAGTCAAGAAGACCGGAGACGGGGGAGGCCGCAGGTGGATGGCTCGGACGGATCCTCACCTTGGCGTTCCACCACATCCCCTGGTCCACACAACAAATAACCAGAATATCAACCAACACAAGAGAGATTTGGAGGCTGGCACGGCCGAAGTCGCACCTAGGCGTGCCGCCGACGCCTGGCTCGGATCCCACACTGTGGTAGGAGTGCCATAAAGGCCACATTAAAAAGGAGCCATTGCAGCCTGACTCTCAGACCGCCTCCAGTAAAGGAGGAGGTCCAAGGTACCCCGTCAGTTGGCAACCTTCCAAGCCACGGCTTTTAGCTCACCGTGATAGATTCAAGCGCGTCAGATTGTTTATAGTGAGGAGGAAGTGCGCTGAGTCGTCGACCTCACTCTCCCTTCCCATTCCCACACTCCAGCCGCCGTCCGAGCCGGTCGGCAAACTGGAGTGGGGAATGGGCGCGGTGGCTGTCATGGTCGACTGACCATGCCTGCGCGCGCCACAGCACGACCTGGCCCCCCATACACACACAAACACTAGGATTTCACACAACGGGGGTTGAACGGCGTGTCTCTCACTTGCGTGAGAGGGCCGTGGAAGGTGCTGCTTCAGCCCGTTTCCAGCCCACCAGTCCGCCACTCCACACAACACACACACAACGTGACGAACTGCGTGAACCGAGGACGGGCGTCAATCAGCAACCTTCCTATGCACGACACTTGACGTGTCGGGATAGCCTCGGACTCAAGTCACCCGTGCGGCCGAAGCCGCATGGGGACCGAGTCGAGATGCACACTTCCCACTTGCGTGGAAGGTGGCAGTTGGTGCATGCGGTGGGTGAGTATTGATGTGTGTTGGTGATGGTGGAGGAGGGTATGGAGTGTGTGAATGTGTGGTGTGGCCGGCGGTTGTCTACCGCAGGTCGTCGTGGATGCGCATGTGACCGAATAGACCCATGCGAAGCCTGAAAGTGCGGGGAAAGTGTGGGCAGTTGAGTCGAGCTTGGTGGGTGTAGGTTGGTGCTCCAGGCACTGGTTCGCCAATCTCTGTGCGATGGATTCGCAAGTGACCGACCAGGCAGATGCGTGAGGTGAATGTGCGTGGACAGTGTGGGCATGTGAATTCGGCGGTGTCAGTGTCAGCCACAGAGGAGGCGTTGGTGGTGGTGTAGACGGATGGTGGGAGGGTGGTGCTGAGCATGATGGGCGTGGTTGGTGCATCGGAATTGTGGTCAATTCCGCTCTCGTGGATGCGCATGTGGCCGAATAGACCCATGCGATGCATGAAGGTGCGAGGGCAGTGTGGGCAGTGGAGGCGAGTGCGGTGGGTGTAGGTTGGTGCGCCAGGCACTGGTTCGCCAGTCTCTGTGCGATGGATTCGCAAGTGACCGACCAGGCCGATGCGGGAAGTGAAGGTGCGACCGAAGTGAGGGCAGGTGTAGTCCTGATCCTCATCACTGGAATCTGGAGAGGTGGGGATGCTGTCGGTTGTTGTGTCGGGGTTGATGTGCGAGACGGCCGCCTGAGAGGCCGCTGTGGGGCAGTGGGGGAGGAGGAGGATGATGGAAGTGATGGTTCAGAAGAATTGTCACGGAAATTATACGGCTTGTAGTTTGGAAACCCCGAATGCAAGTGTAACGGCAGGTTGGGTTCAAAATTCTACGGGAATTGGAAAGTTTTGCAAAACCAAACTATACCCTTCCCTCGAGTGTAAAGTGGAAAAAAGACATAATTTTCTACTAAATGAGCAACATAATGAATGAAAACGCACTCCGGAAAGTCAGTTGACATTTCATGAGTTAGCCCACCAACTTTATGCATATATTCCAGCTTATATTTCTTGGGATGTCTAATTTCCAATATGAAAGCTCGACCGTCGTTTCTGAGGATGTCCATTGTGTGCTCCCCACAAAGATGCAACAGGCATGGCGACATGTGCATGAGTTAGTTCACAGTGATACTAACTCACCCAGGATTTAAACACTGGCAATGAATTCCATATTCCTGTAATCGTCACTTAGATATTCAATATTTCATATTTGTGTCATAGAGTACCGGCACGTCCGCCAATGATGCGAACAGAGCCCATCTTAACTAAAGCACAGTTAATGGATAGTCTCTTGACATTGGACAGATGATTGTGTTTTGGCACCGTGGTAAATGCACAGTCGACTTAAGTAACGGTCGCAGAACCTAATATACTCATATCTGGCAGTCATGGAATCGTCGCGAGACCTTACTGTTCCAAGCTTTGTCGGAGAACGTTTAACCTCGTCCTTAGCGTCATCTCCATCCCAATGAAAAGGCAAGAATGTATCGGGATAGTTTGGACAACGTGAGGCAAGACTGTGTTTTGTCCCGAGGATCTCGACTATAGACTATGCCTATGCTAAAGGCCTCACCAATCTGGTTTACACTATTAGAGTGTCAGATGCAACGCAGTTGGGATTCCCGTTGTCAGGACATCCATCTGTATCTGATAACTCACGCAAGATCCCGGGTGCCAGCTCAACACTGCGACTTTTGAGGATGTCCCCGACTAATTGACGGATATGGCAGCCTTGTTGAGAGATAATTCTTGGAATAGACCGCTACTAGAATGAGGAATATGCAACGATCTCCGTGCAACACAAGGGAACGTGAGCGGAATATAGGAATTGTCTGCAAATGCCAATTAACCTACCGGTTCTCTCTTGTAATCTAAAATGGCGCACTACATACAGAGGCTTCCTATTGGCCTAGATAACCTGAGCGATCTCTTCAAACAAGTGTGGTATCCGAAAAGGCAACGTTCATTTCTGCACTACATTATTCCCTCAAAAGTGCCTTAGAGAGATTGGGCTGTCGCAGTCGATGCTTACTCCAGTTGGTCAGCAAGATATCTTTCAACGCATCATTTTTTTCGGTACTAGAGTTGGAGATTTTGTTGTCCCCATGTGACTTCTAACGAAATGGACCCTGATTTCATCTCACACTCTACAAGTACTATCTGAAAGAATGGGTGCGTCTGGAATCTTCTGGGGAGAGTGGCAGAGTTCTCTCTCTTGCACAAAAACATGATTTTCAGTGACAACGTCCATCATCGCAAAATGCATTTGATCAATGCTGCAGTGCATGTTATTCCGTGTCGTCTAGGTAACATCTGTACTGTCTGTCTCACTTGCATTCAGAGGATGCATCTCCAGCACGAATATACCAGAAGCAGAAAGAACAAATTCTTCAGTCATAATTCCATCTTCCAGAATGAAAACAGACCTTGCAGAGCTGAAAAGGCCACTCTTTTCAAAACAACGGCCATTTGGCCAAGATCGACAAACAATCCAGTCACCTCACATATCTTCTCGTACTAACAAAGGTAGTCGGAGTTGGTCACCAAAATCGCCACCCAAATGCAAGTGGTGATTGGAAGGGCCCACAGAGTGCAGCATAGTATTGACGTTTAGTGAAGGGGAGTGATTGTTCGCTACAAGTTCCACGCTCACTAGGTTATGCAACATGCTGCATATTTCGAACCAAAACGAAGAACATGCTTTTTAATATCCTCCTTAATCAAAAATCAAGATGGCTTGTTTTAACCAACCCTGAGAAATCATTGTTCGAAGTTCGTAGAGTAGGGTACTGCGGGAAATGTATTGAAGCCTCCCACATAGGGCATAGAAGACATGTTCTATGGATTGAGATTTTGCGATCAGTAGGGTTTAGTAGATCCAAAATTTAATGACCGCTGTTGTCGAGACCAAAGAAAGATCCGATTAATTTGGTAGCGGGTGATGTACTGCAGAGAACGAAGAAAATTGGCAGAGAAGGACGTGGCCTACTTAATTACGCTACGACATCAGATGGCGGATATTTCTCCCCAAGTTCCCAGGCTTTCGCGCCCTCAACGCTGGCTTTTCGCAAAATTTGGCGTGCAAATGATGTCAGCTGCGCTTTCATTTGAAACCTCACTGAGCGAGCGACTCCCCATATCCCCTCGATTTTCTCCAACTCTACAACGAAACTGCGTTTTTGGTCAGATTTGCTTTCTACGGCATTGCCACGACTCGCCGGATTAAGTCCAGTGGACTTTATCGCGATTGGTTTGCATGCATCCAATCAGTTGAGAGAAAGATGTCTAGGTGGACCAATAATCTCAATGCTTACAGGCACGGTTGTTGCTACTTCCGAGACGTGCATCAGACGATCTTTTGAAGACCAAGCAGAGCAGGATATGTCGCAACTCGTGATACCAGACGAGGTCAGTCCTTTTATATGAACAACCTGCCTTTGCTGAACCGCTAGATCCGATTGAATATTTGCAGTTAGATATAAGTCTACGTGATAGCAACTGCGAAATAAATGCTGTGGGAAGACAGGGGCTGTAATATCCACTTTTTAGGCATGTTTTACTTCGGAGTACGCGACTGGCTGTCTATGAGCAAGTGCACAGATAGCTCAACTGGTCATTCTCGCACTTAACACTTGATAAGTTGCATCCATTTAATTGCAATCAATAGTCAGATTTACTTTTAAATGTCACACCTCCTCTAAGTCACCTAACTGTCTCGTGGAAAAGAAAATGATAATAAATGGAAGTATAGAGTAAAAGTGACTATTGTTGATAAGCTCAGTCTTCTATTTTCTGTTTGGAGTTTAGATTCTCTGGAATCCAATACTGTCTGCCGGGATCAGTCGGTATCTGTCGAGGAAGGACCGTCTGAATTGCAAGAGCCTAATACCTACATGGGATCTCCTGACCACTCGAATCCTTGGACTAACGCCAGATGTCTGCAGTAGGCAAGTGCAACTGCTTGACACACTTCAAGATGCGCCCCAAGGAGTCGAGATCGTCACTCTGGATTTTGCTGCCCGTCGAGGAAAAAACGTAATTCAAATTTGATCCACCTTTTCCGGCCCCGGTGCTATTGGACTCATCAATTTGACTACCTTGGACATCATGAAACAACCAATCAGCCTTGGACAAATGCGTGTGCTCCTGGCTAGGTGTCCAATGCCTCGCTTACGCAATCTTTCCCTCTCTGTCGTTGGAAGTGACGTCAGACCGTCGATCACTAAGTGCTTGAAATGTGAGCTCAAGCTGAAGGAAGTGGCTATTCGATTTTTTGGATGTCTGTCGTCGTGCGATTTGCTGCTGTTAATCCAGAGCTTTGGCGACTTACGCAGCCTTTTCCTGGACGATTCAAAAATCGATGGATACCGCCGCATCGGCTGGCGCAGAGTCTGGGAAGGTTATCAGACTCGCATTCCACAATGGACCTCCCTTCAGATTCACCATAAATCAGAACTACTCGATTTGTTCCTGGGTGAAAGTTGGTCTGATTATGAACTCTCAGAATTGACCCTATTGACTGCGCCAGGCCACTTCTTCCCAAAGAAGTACATTACAGAATTCTCCGTGGTACCCAGAATTGTCAAATACCACACGCTTAACAAACCCCAGTTCCGTACCCTCCAATTTTGCAGAGCCTGTGTCAGGGCTAAGGACAGATACAACATGCCCAGCCTTCAATGGCCATCAGCTGGCACTGTTCATGACGATGAGTCACCAGTGAATTTCGTTGCCTGCTCTCTCATGACTGTCGAGGACAACTGCCTCCTTTACCCCATCAACCTACGTGACTTGTACATTCATATAAGTCCCCCTGGAACGAGCTCATCTACAAGTGTGACGAATTCTTCTGCCCCCCTTGAGTCCTCTGTAAGTAGAAGGCAAACAGCAGCAAGGGGTAATGTGGAAGCCCTAATTCAGCGTCGATGCTCCGAAATCCGTCGTCTATGCATTCGCTTGTGCAAGCCTGGAAATGATGCGCGTAAAGGGAACTACGCCCAGGAAATGCCGTCTCTCGCGAGAGATTGTTTCCCCCCAATCATTGAGAAGTGTGGTCCAAATCTCCAATCTCTGGAAGTGTCCGCTGAGCTCATTACGGCCTGTTGCTCCGATGTGCTAACAACAAGACGGCTTCTCCGACTGCAGGACAAGTGCTTAAATGTTCGAAAGGCTACTGTGATTGCCGGTGGTGACCTGGTCGAGCGACAACTCCGTCCATCCGCGAAGAATATTTCCACCTACTTGAGTCTCTTTCCGGCGCTGCAGGAAGTGCGTATTGTTGCCGTAGACATCTTCACTGAACAGATTATTCCAGAGATCCTGACTACCTGTGGTCATCTTCGGCGTCTCTACATATACTCCCTGAGGAATCTTACCTTTGACTTTGCTTCGCTTCCGTCGCATAATGCCCTCGAGCTACTCTTCATCGACTTAAGTAGATTTTGTGTGAAGGATCGTTTTGAAATACTTTTGAAGGAAACACTTTCGAGACTTCGCTCGCTCAGATACATCCTGTTTAGGGTTGATCGTGGAAGATATCCGTTCGAGAAGACCTTGAGAGCCTTCTTCACCGACAGGCCTGAATTGCGGTGGTTGGTTGTAGTTTTCAAAAGACACCACACCACACTCTTATGTCAGGCCAACGGGAGCTCTGCTGCAGATCCAGAAATTGTTGAATACCCCAGTTCCACCTTGGGCCATCTTATTCTTGACTACCCAGAACTTTACGACATATTTTGGAGTGAATTACAGCGAATTCATAAGCGCTTCCTATACAAGCCCTAGTTTTATTATGAGATACAAACTGGCGAGTAGCCTTCCGACGCCCAGCATGCCCGTCCATCACTCGAAATCCGTGCACACCACCACCACTACCGCCGCCGCCGCCGCCGCCGCCGCCGCCGCCGCCGCCGCCACCACCACCACCACCACCACCACCACCACCACCACCACCACCACTGTTCCAAGCACTAGCACGACAGTCTCGATCCCAACCGGTCCACATTGCGTACGCACCTTCATATCACACATCGGCCCTGCCAATCCATCGTACTGAGACTGGCACATCAGTGAAGGCCAAATTTCGAGTTCGAGGTGTATGCATAAGTGACTCCTGTACGAGTCTGAAAGCTCAGGATAATAAACGAAGTGTTCCGGTGCTCGAATCTTCTTCTTCACTTATGGCACATCAGTGTCGGGAGCACCAGCGTACAGCCGCTGTATCCGCCTCAACTGCCTACCGCTGTTCATTTACATCCAAGCACCGCATGGACCTACTCAGCCATATGTGCCTCCACGTAAATGTGTGGAAAAAAACCTTAGTTAGAACCATATTACCGCGAATATCTCCACCAGCCCAGACATTCCTCCACAAACCCGCCTCACATCACTGATTGCCAGCACAGAATGGGCACCTCTGTCGCAGTTCGACAGCCTCTTCCCTGGCGCAGTCTGATGCGCGACCAATCCCTGCGTGACATAGGTGGACACACTCGCGCGGTTCTGTCGGCCACTAAGCCCAGTCTTAAGGCCAACTGGTTGACTGGCTCGTATAGATGACTGCTGTGCGGTACATGAAGGAGAGACCGACGCCGCCATGGAGATTCAGGTCCAAATGACACCTCAGCGCATTCCTCACCATAATAAATCTGATGCGCTTGAGTCTATCATGACGCACCAAACATAGCAACTTGCTAGTTTGCCAACTGAAGGTCCAACTCAGACACCGCAGTCAGCCCTGTGTGCATGGGGAGTGGCTGGATGATGCGCTGAGAGTCAGGCTAGAGCGGCTCCTACCCAAGTGGCCTCTGTGGCAATCTGACGCAGGTGAGATGCGGTCAGCCCACCCCTTTGTGAGAAAGCCTTGTGTAGGCGTGGAGCCAGGTCGTGCGTGGTACACGTACACATGCTACTGAACTCTGTCAACCCCTTGAACCAAATCCCACCGTCAGATGGCTGGCCGGGTTGGACATTGGCAGAGACATTCAGCGTCTTCCTCTCGGCATCAAAAATAACCCGTTCGAGTTCGGCCTCACGTTTAATTCGCCTCACTTCTACTTCGGCTATATTTAAGGCTTTAACTGTTTTAGTGGAACTACGTCTACTAATAGAAACGTTCTTACCAAGGCCGTGCCGGACGTCTTTCGTCAACTCTTCCTGTCCTTCGAAGGCACCCCGGTTTGTCTAGTCCGAGAGACTGTTCCGTACCGTCCGATTCATTCTACATGGAACGCGGCTGCATTTGGTGAGATTAATTGGCTAGATCGCAGTTGATAGCCAGGACCAGTATTATAGATGGCGGGGGGTTTGTTTACTGGGGCTATTTTGTGGGGCTCCATAATCACACCTGACCCATTTGGCTTCTGTTTTACGTTTGATGTTAGAATTAGGGTACTGTTTAATGGTTTCCGATTTTCGGGTTAGGGTTATGCCTTTAGGATTATGTTTTCGGGTTACGGTTGGGGTTTGAGCTAATCTTAAGGCAGCCAGGCGTGCAGGTGCGAGATGGCGGGCCGAGAAAGTGTTGGAGGGCGGCTGGTGGATTATGTGAGGAAGCACATCACGCGGTGGGGTAGGGCTTCTGGATTTTGGACGTATGTGATCGGTTTGATTGGCGAGGAGCTGCTGAAGTGGGCTAATCGGGTCAGGGTTAGGCACGCCAGAGCTGAGGCGATGCCTCATTGGGAAGTGTACCCAGCCAGCGAAGGCGACGGTCTGACTATACGGTTTGGACTGCTGGCAGTCAGACAGAAGACGACAATAAATTCTGCACCGATAATGGAACACGGGCTATCAGCGACTGCAGGACCAAGGCCAAAGGGAAATTGAAACACCGACGGTCGACTGCTACTGGAGAAATGGCACTGATCTGCGCGCTCGTAATGACGGAGAAAGGGTAGGTTCAGACTCGAGAATTGCGACTGGGACTGGAGTTGTCCGGGGGATCGGTTGTCCTGACCTTCGGCCCGGTCCGATCCATCTATTGACGCTGCCTAAAATCAAAAAGCAGGAGTAAAACAGTAGCCGGCTTTGGCACCAAATGTGGTACGATTCCAGCAAGTGATGGCTGTGTTGAGGGAGTTGAGGAAATGGGCTGCATATTACTCAGGCGGCTGTCGATCTGAATGAGCTAAGCAGCCGAGATATACAGCGGGAGACTGGGCCAGAAGAGGGCGTCAAATGTGTTGCAATGCTGGTTGAAGATGGCTCATTGTCATCCACTGGCTGTGTGAGGACTGAGCCACAGGCATGGGTACGTCCAACCAAATACTAATTTGTTCCATGAAGACACGGACGTAACTTTCTGGTTTAGGACTGGCAAATGTCCGCAGAACCAGCAGCTTCTCTGAGCGCCTCGCAGTATTGCAGCCTCCCCGATGGTGTCTTTCAGGAGGCGAAGATTACAATGCACTTTTTATGTCACAACGATGCCTAGCGCCAGTTTAATCATCAGTCTATATCAGACTCTTATGTTATTGGCATGTTCTGAAGGGGAATATTCCTCGGTACTTTGACAGATGAGCTGAATTACATTTTTGAATTTTCACCATGTTAGAGACTACTTCGACTGAGAAGCTCTCGTGACCCCAGGCGAAATTCTCTTCATCTTACGAAGTCGGCGGGATCGGTCATGCTTGTGGGATGCAACCATATGTTCGAACGGAGGCCTAGCGTCTTTCAATATTTCGGACTCCGTAGGATGTCTGCTTTTGAATACACTGCTTTCCAATCTCCTGTAGGAACGTACTCGGCAAAAAAGGATTACTTAATTAGCATGCATTTTGCCATTGGTTTCTAATGGTCTTTCAAATTCAAATATACTTTATAGAAACCATGAAAAAATACGCTTTCTTTCAGCCGTTTGATAGAGAATTTCTTCACCTTTATATTTTGTGCTCTAAGAAGAAATATAATAAGGTTTTAAAAACGTTTTTGATTGTCGGACCTAAAAGCCACACCTAGGCGTACCACTGCATCCCCTGGTCCATAGGCGGCTGGCGTTCTGAGTGAGCTGAGCAGCCGAGAGATAGAGCGTATTTGCGTGGTGTGGCCGACTGGTTAGCTGAGAGCCAGACTCAATTGCTTCTTCTTACTGCGGCCACTATTGCATTCTCGTGCATGCGAGGCCTCAGTCGTCCACCCCCTTTGTGCGGAATCGGGGTGTTTTATTCGGGCGACCATGCCATATGTGGCACACACAGTCGAGCTCACTAGCTCTGCTAGGCCCACTGCCCAGTCTCAGCACCAGACACCTGACCGGCTAGGAAGGAGGACTGATTCCCGAGAGGAGGAATATAGAGTGTGGGGCTGACACTCTCAGTGCACATTCCTCACTCTGAACACTGACGTGCTTTTAAGCTATCCGGATGCGTTAAAAGCCCTGACTTGGAAGACTGCCAACTGGTGGGATAACTCAGCGCTCCTCCCTAGCAGGAGAAAAACGATGCAGAGGCTCTTTCTTAGTGTCGCCTACACAGCACTCCCCTCAGATGGCATCCGGCCCGTCGCCTTCTTGTTTGGGTGGAAACCTATTCGGATCAGGCGTGTGCGTCATGCGTAAATGGTCGGTTTAGTTTTGTCAGCCAATGCACCCGATGCCGCCTCCGGTCCTCTTGACTCCGTCTCGACATCGGGCTCAGGAGGGCGGGGGGAAGAGAGTAGATGCTGTGGATGCGACACAAGTCTACTATTAATAAAAACCATTCACAGGCAAGTCACCGTCCCTTCGCAGACCATTCAGTGAGGCAAATGGTGGACATTGTTGGTGAAAACTACCGAACCGTCGGGTGTCAGATTGTTGTCGAGGTTGACTGTGCATTCGCCATGACGTCATAACTCATGCAGGTCCTCAGTATCAAGAGTCTATCCACAAGTTGTGTGCTACTTTGCTTAAGTTTCAACTTCACCATTTGGTGAAGCATCCGGTGTTTTATGACACAAGTCGTCTTGATTGTCATGGCACCTCGAATGCCTGACTGGCGATTGCAGGCACATTAACTTCATTGTCAATGCTTGGGCATGGGGTATGCCATTGATTTTTTGTGTTTGTTTGGAGAGATTATTGGTGACAGTTGGGGCAGTTGCATCGTGAAAACCAGAAGATTGGTGCAACTTCCTTGAGAATCCGTGCTCTCTCTGCATACTACCAGAACATAAAATGTGCATAATTGGCTTGCACAGCTGTTCCTTTAAACAGTTCGTGCATCAGAGTCCGAGGAAATTCTAATGGTCTAATTGCCTCCCATGACAGTTCGGTCATCGTTTCCGACGATGTTCACTGCTTGCCGCCTCAACAGAGTGGACGCAGGGACGGTGACTTGCGCGGCATCCACCACACTCTCTCCTCCTCCTCCTCCTCCTCCTCCTCCTCCCCATCTGGGTTCTGTGTCATGGCTAAGCCAAAAGGCCGCAACTGGCTGGCATGACGAAAAGCCGCACCCAGGCGTACCACTGCATCCCCTGGTCCATAACAAACACTTGAACAAGATTTTCAACAACGACAGAAATTGGGGGACGGTGGGGACCTCAGTTCGTGTTGCGTGAGCCTGTCACTGGGGCCTGCCAGCACATCTCGAATGTTGACATCCATCCCACAGAGATCGGCGAACGGATACCTGGAGCCCCAATATATACCCCAATATACCCCGGAAAAACATAAAGAATTCAGACAACAACGAACCTTATGCAAAAAACTCATCCGAGAAGTACGAGCTTCTTATGAACTGAAGCTCCTAGAAGAGGCGCAGCAAAAACCTAAAGCGTTCTATGCATACATCAAGAGCAATACGAGAAACCGGGATCATCTGGCAACCTTAAATGACAAAACTAACCGAATTGTGAGCGATGGCCTTCAAAAAGCCCAGCTTCTCTCTGAGTTTTTCCAAAGTGTCTATACCACGGAACCACCCCTCCAGTCCTGTTCTCTTCCACTGCCCGCTAACCAACCACTTATAAGCACAGTATTTTTTTACTCCGCAGTTAGTTTTAGCAGAGCTAAATAAGCTTGATCCGGCCAAGTCACCTGGACCAGATGAGATCCCAGGTGTACTCCTGCGTCAGCTAGCTGAAGAATTAGCAGAGCCATTTTTTATAATCTTCCAAAAATCGCTGGAAGCTGGCAAACTACCTGACACATGGAAGTTGGCAAACGTCGTACCTATCCACAAGGGAGGATCACGGCTCTGTCCCACGAACTACCGGCCGGTTAGTTTGACATGCATTTGCTGCAAACTGATGGAAAAAGTAGTTAAAAAATCTATTACATCACTCGAGACTTTCTGCTGTCACATCGCCTCAGTTCAACATGGCTTCTGCGAAAAGCGGTCCTGCCTCACAAACCTGCTTTCGTCACTCGAACACTGGTCAAAGGCCATGGATGAAGGACACCCAGTTGATATCATTTACTTCGACTTCAGCAAGGCGTTCGATTGCGTCCCACATAAGCGCCTCATTCAAAAGTTGTCAGAAGTAGGGATAAGAGGAAATCTTCTGAACTGGATTCAAGATTTCCTAAACGGACGGCGACAAAAAGTCACTGCGGGCGGCTACTGCTCAGAATGGGCACCTGTTACGAGTGGAGTCCCACAAGGGTCAGTTCTTGGGCCGCTCCTATTCATTATCTACGTAAATGACCTAGTAGGGGAAGTGAAATCGGAAATAGCGCTCTTTGCAGACGATCTTAAACTTTGGAGAACGATAAAAAATGAAGATGACGTCAAGATACTATAAAAGGACGTAACGAATTTGCACGCATGGAGCGAGAAATGGTGCATGAAATTCAACGTCAAAAAATGTGCAGTAATGCACGTAGTATCAGCGAGGCGAAGAACAAATGCACCCCCACGACAGTATCTCCTGGGCAATCAACCACTTAAAACCGTAGATGTGCAAAAAGATCTCGTTGTGTTCATTAATGACGATCTAAGCGTCACCACGCAGTGTTCTAAAGTCGCTGTGCGAGCAATGTCCGTTATGAGCGCTATACGCAGAACGTTTATACACTTGAATAAAGATGTTTTTAGCAAAGTATACGGGACATTCGTGCGGCCGCACCTGGAATATGCGGTACAGGCTTGGCGGCCGTGGCTTCGGAAGGATATGGATATCCTTGAAGGTGTACAACGGCGTGCTACAAAGGCTGTTCATGGCCTCAAAAACTTCACGTACGAGCAGCGCCTGACGGCCTTGAACCTCTATCCCCTCCACTACAGGCAGGACAGAGGTGACCTCATGGCAACGTTACAGTTGGTAAAAGGACTGAATCTGGCTGTCGACTGGGAAACGTTTTTTGAAATGGCACCCAAATCCAATCTCAGACGACATGATTACCAGCTTAAAAGGGAACTGCGCCACACAAATCAACGCTCCTCGTTTTTCTCACAGAGGGTCATTCGCCAATGGAACTCTTTGCCGGAGTTTGTTGTTAATTCCCCCACCGTGAACGTGCTCAAGAAACAACTGGATGCTTACCTGCTGAAAGGCAACCCGAACTGCCGAAGCCTGATCTAACGGATTACTGAAATGACTATAAATATACTACTAACAAGATTTCAACAGATCCTATTTTGTGCTCCAAACTTAGACCATATTGAAATTTTCACAGTCCGAATGCGGTGAACAAAGTTTTTCGCAATTATTTCGCGATTATAATATCCCTTTCGCCTTTATGTTACATTATTATATTTATGGATTCTCCTTACTAAAACTACAAGCTTTGCAATTTACCTATTTTCCCTTATATCTGTACCCTCTAAATGGAGTTTTCAGGGCTTCTGTCGTTTACTCCAAATATGCTGACTGATACTGACTGATACCCGTTGCACCCCAATCACATGCCACACCTGCTAGGTAAATTCAGTCACCGCATGGGCCTACTCGGCCATTTTTGCCCTCTTGCGTCATATTGTAAAGCATCGCAATTCAAACCCCATCACCATGCCACATATGAACTTGCTTCACACCATGCACCACCTCTAGCAACACTCGAACTCCTTCCTGCACCAAGCATGTGATCCGCTTCGCCATCATGGACATGGCGGATCCAAATTCACATGTCTAATGTGCATATGTCATGTAGGCAAGAAACATCTTCATGGTGTATTCTGGTAATATAAAGTGGTAACTAAGTGCATATCAGATTGGCAAAGTTGAGAGATCCAGGTTGATGATTTGAAGAGAAAAGAGATGGGCTCACCGGAACGGGTTTATTTGGATATTGACATTTCGAAGAGCTCTAGATTGTCAAAGTGCATATCCTTCACTTGACCAGTTTCAATAACAGAAATTAGACGGATAAAGTGGAATCCACAAAGTTGAAGACAAGTGTTGGCGAGACCAAAAGTTCATTTCTGCCAAATACTCGTTACATGACCCATTTTACAATCGAATCGAGTAGATTTAACTGTTTCCACCAGACGTTATATGTCGCACATTCAATTTTCAAACTGCATCTGGTCAACTGATTCCGAACGACAAGCGCTTTACAGTTAGGACAGAATTCCCTGAGAATTTAATAGAATATGGGAAACTTGGACGACTAGGACACTCAGCCAGCCAAGTTCCATCAACTTTGTCCCCTAATGCGCACTTGACTTACAATGAACTTGCATGTGTTTCGAAAAAGACTCTATGGCAGACTCTTTTGAAGACTATGTTCGTATATTAATATCATATCACGCTTCTTACTGAAGAGCGGAATTAGTGGACGGTTTCGATAAATTTCACAGTGAACTCCAATTCCCTTCTGCCTTTTGAACGCTGTTAGCTTGTGACATGTATATGCCGAGCAAGATAGTCGGGACTAAGGACTTTCCCAGAACAGAAACGAGGAAAGCCATGTGAACTGTGCGGTGTGCATTTTGTGACTGTACGCCGAGCTGGAAGGAGTCGAACCCCACTCGCCAGTGACCGTGGGAGCAGCCATTGTGTGCCCATTGTGTGTGTGTGTGTGGCCCAGCCCCTGCCACGTAGTCCCGTTGGTCGGCGCAGCTCCAGACGCTGAGGCGTCCAGGTCACATCAATCGGTCCGTCTGGAAACGCTATGAGGGCACCGCTGAAATGATTGAGCTGACGCTGAGCTGTCTCAGCCGAAGAGGACGTGAAATGAGGCCCAGACGATACTGTGATACATCGAATAGTTAATGGGCGACACGCGCCTACATTTGAGGTTATTGTCCAGTTCTTTATCTCAATGTGCCCTTCAGTCTGCCCTGTTCCTTTCTGCACGGAGCGTATAACCGGTCACTGGAAAGTGAATTCGACTTCAGATTTTGATGATGCCAATGCATTTCGCCTGGCATTTGCATTTGCGCCCTTAACGTTCCTCCGCACATTCCGCGTGTTGGCTTCTAACCACTTGAGTGGACAACATCGTTGTAAAACCCCTACGTCCTTCTCATAAGATGTTTTCTCTGTAACCTAAGCAACCGGCCCTCGATTCCGCACGACAGGTTACAATAAGAGGAGGGAATTGCTTCGCAATAATGCAGCATATTTGGGCGGGCCTGCAGTCGTCATTCCCAAAACAATGTCGGAAAATTGAACAGATAATTCGATGGATTATATTGCAGGAATTAGTTCTGGAAAATAAAATGGAGTTTCCCTTCATTAACACAGAAGGTGCTTCAATAAACACACATCGAAGCCTGGATTTGGGTCTTAGAGGATTGCCGACGGCAGGCATGTCAGGAATGGCTACTGGCATTCCCTTTTTTGGTCGGGGTACTTTGACACACAACGAATGAGTATACACACCGGAAAGTGTGTCTGGCGGGCCCAGAGCCCATCCACATGCTTGTTCAGCTAACGACGAAACGGGTTTTGCGGTCTGTGTGTTGCAAACACAAACGATTCCCTAGCTGACTACCTACCACGAAGGTTCCAAAAAGTTCATGCGGAATTGACCACATTTGTAGTGACTGTTCTGTCTCCTTCCTTAGAAATAGACTATGGCGATGGTTTTAGACATCCGAAGGAATGTGATCCTGTGTGGGTGACCAGAAATTCCCATCTTGCAAAGAATGGTTAACGTCCGCGGCCGGCACATTGGATGAAACAAGTGTTCCGATTCACTGGGTGAAGTTTTTCATGCGTTATTGAGTGAGAATTGTGACACGGTCAAATTACGTGACAACACTGATGCTGATTTTCTTCCTACAGTTTTCAGCCTCTAATGGCCTGGGCTCAGGTCTTATCTAAAAGTTGAGGCGAAAATCACTCAAAATGCATTTTTGTTTGGCGCATCGTTGGGAAAACAAACTCTTATCGTCCTATTTTTCTCCAGCTCTACAAAAAACTGTCAATGTTTCTCGAATTTACCATAAGGGAGTTATACATATCCCTTATTCTGTATTACTCGGTTCAGCTCAGTGGGATTTGTTGCGATTGATTTAAACGCTTCTCATCACTTTAGAGAAGGACGTCTAGA